TGTTTGTCTATGTTTCAAATTTGTTCCTAAATCCCCTAGTGGTTGGTTCTCAAAATTTCATCTGCATCAGAAACTCCTAGGTAGCCTGTAAGGATGACTCCTCAGCTTCACTCCCTTCTGGGAATCTGATTTAATAGGTCTGAAACTTTTTCAATAATCTGCATTTTAAGTTCCCTAGAGCAGAGCAGTCTCAATCTTTAATGTACATACCCATCACCTGGGATCTTATTAAAATGCAGATTCTGATTCAGTCAGTCTGGTGGGCCTGGCATGTGGTGTTCTAATAAGTTCTTAGGTGATGTTGATGTTGCTGGTTGACAAGCCACGTATTGAGTAGTGGGGCCTAAGAGAGTTCTGATACAGATAAATAAAAACACTGGTCTAGATGCAAGGATAAAATTCAGACTTTCTAGGAAGAAATACTTCCAACACATGTAGTTTTGCTTGTTGTTAAAATTTTGCATCTTGCCTTTCCTGTCTTCAATTACTTTCCAGTCCTGTCCTTTGTGGTCTTGTTGTTGTGGTGGTTAAGTGCCATCAAGTTGATTCCAATTTGTAGAGACCCTATAAAGGGTTTCCAAGGAGTGGCCTACCAAACTGACCATGTAGTGCCGTGCATTGTGCCCCAGCGCCACTCCAGGATTAGAAGTGATGAATTACACATACTCCTCCAACCATAACAAGATGCCACTGCTTCCATGCCCTTGTTTACAGGAGCTATCTCCTGGTGTGGTGCTATAGGATCAGCACTGGATAGTGAACCACAAAGTCAGCAGTTCAAACTCATAAGCCTCTCCTTAGAAACCCTATACAAGGTCACTATGAGTTGGAACCAACTTAACAGCACTTAACAGTATCTTTCCTCTGACTGTCCAGTAGGTGAAGATATATCTGTTTGTTAAGTTAGTCCTTGTTGGGACGTTCTCTCTGACTTTCCCAGGCAGACTTGGATGTTCCCTGCCCTGTGCTTGGATTCACCTGGTCTCTTATTGATTAGGAGTATTGCAGTCGTTTGTTGGAATGCCTAACTCCTCTACATATTTTTGTTGCTGGTCGGTGCTGCTGAATCAGTTTAGACTCATAGAGACCCCATAGGATAGAGTAAAATGACCGCATAGGATTTCCTCGGTTGTAATTTTTATGGCAATAGATTTCCAAGCTTTTCTCCCATGCAGCCATTGGTTGGGTTTGAACCATCAACCTTTCAGTAAGCAGTTGAGCATTTAACCATTGTACCACTGTTAATTGTTGTTATTAAATGCCTTTAATTCAGCTACAACTCATAGCCACCCTATATAGGGGTTCCAAAGAGTGGCTGATGTGTTTGGATTGCTGACGTTGCAGTTCACAATCTGGTGCTTATCCTACAGTATCATCTTCTGTCTTTTCATCTTTGTATCCCAAACTCCTGTATCCTGTATTCTGGCACATTAAAAACAACCAAGCCCACTGTCATCGACTCCTGTCCCCCTCATAATGACCCTGTATAGGGTTTCCAAGGATATCAATCTTCACAGGAGCAGAAAGTCTCATATCTCTTCCAACAAAGAGCTGGTGGATTTGAACTGCTAGCCTTGCAGTTAGAAGTCCATTGCTTACCATGGCAGTCCCATGTGTGCTAGAGTAAACCTATGCTCCATACGGTCTTGACTAACTGAATTTTCAGAAATAAATTGTCAAGCCTTTCTTCAGCGGCATCTCTGGGTAGGCTGGAACCGCTGATCTTTTAGTTCACAGCCAAACAGTCCTAACTACTTTTAGTTCACAGCCAAACTACTAAGGATTCCTACCTGGAGTCCTGGTGTAGCGCAGCAGGATAAGCACTAGACCTCAAAGTCGGTGGTTCACACTCACCAACCACTTCTCACAAACCCTATACAGGATCACTATGAGTTAGAATCAACTCGACAGCACATAACAACAACATCACAGGCTTCCTACCTAGTACACTGCTGTTGATATTGTTATTAAGTGCCACCAAGTTGGTCCCCACTCAGCGATCATGTACAGGGTTTCCAAGGAGTGACTATCTGGGGCTGAATGACTAGCTTTATGGTTCAAATGGCCTTGTGGTACAATGCTTATCCTATAGTGTCACTACATAAATGTCTGTTAAATAGTGGACTGAATCGATGAACACTGAAATGTCTCTACCTCTTTCATCTAACTGTCTCTTTGAATCCATTACCCTGACTTCCAGACACAGGCCCAAGTTATTAAGTCGTAAAACAATTTGAATGGCACTGAGCTACACCACCTTCAAATAAATCTTACTCCTATATTCTCAACCTAGCTTCCTATCCATGACTTGACTCATAGTGACCCTATGCATAACAAAATGAAACACTGCCCGGTCCTGGCTAACCTCACAATTGTTGCTACGCCCAAGCCCATCACTGCTGCCACTATGCCAGTCCATCTCGCTGGGGGTCTTCCTCTTTTTCTCTGACCCTCCATTTTATCAAACATGATATCCTTTCCCAGGACTGGTCCCTCCTGACCATATGTCTAAAGTTTGAGAGACGAAGTCTGGCCATCCTGGCTTACAAGGAGCACTCTGACTATATGTCTTCCAACACAGATCTGTTTGTTCTTTTGACAGTCCATGGTACTTTTAATATTCTCCTCCAACACCATAACTCAAATGCATACAGGACATGGGTGTTTTAATTCTTTCTCTTCTCAGAGTAATTTCCTTTGCTATCTAATATATTTCAGGGGAGTGGTTGTTTGTCTCGAACCATTTCCTAGCCGGTTGGAATGAACAAATAGATGAATGAAGGCTAGATAGGTGTCAGCACCAAAGCCTTTAGTTATTATCCATCTCTTGTGCTTTATTAGGCATGAAATCATTTGTGCTGGACCACAAAGTCAGTTTGAGCTGCAAGGTCGGAGGTTCACACCCACCAGCCTCTTCTTGAAAACCGTATACGAGTCGCTATGCATTCCAACTGATGCGACGGCACTTAACAACAACAACCATGAGATGAACGGAATCCTGGTGTGGTGCAGTAGGAAAAGCACTTGACCTCAGGATCTGTTTGAGCCACAAGATTTGTAGTTTCAAAGTCACCAGCCACTCCTCAGAAAACCTATGCAGGATCCCTGAGTCAGAATCAACGTGATGGCACTTAACAACAAAAACAACAACAACATTGTGATGGCTAGAACTGTGATTGCCTCTGTGGGAACAGAGCAAATAATTTCAAGGGTCTTATATAGCCAGTGGGCCGATGTTCCCCATCCCTGCTTTAAATGATGTGATTTGCACCACTTACTATTTTTAAGGAAAGTACAATAAGTAATGCATTTTGCTTTTTGCCACAAACATGTTTGTATTTAATTCATGGCTAAATAGACTGTATTTTGACAACCACAATCTAGAACTGATTTATTGCTCACTTGTGTTTTCTTTCTTCTCTAAAGAAGTCTGTGCATTGATAAATCAGACAAGGGTGCTTTCCATTTGTTATTTAAATATCAACAAAGAATTCCATCTGGAGGGTTATACAAATTAATTAAGGAAGTTTCAGTGATCATTCTGAAATGTATCCCAGTGGCTTATATGTAATTAAGAGGAACCTTGGTGGCACAATTGTTAAAGCATTTGTCTGCTAACCGAAGTTTCAGAGGTTCAAATCCACCAGCTTCTTGCTCTGTGGGAGAAAGATGTGGCAGTCTGATTCTGTAAAGACTGATGACCTGGGAACCCTGTGGGGCAGTTGTATTGGGCCCTACATAGTTGCTAGGAATCAGAATCAAGTCCACAGCACTAGATCATGTGTGATTATATTTACCATTTCCATTTTTTTCAGTCAGTATAATACATTGAAGAGAAACCTTAACAAAATGCAGTTCATCTCTTGGCAAAGTCTCATTAACGATGAGGACCATTAATTTATTAAGGGAAAGCTCTAGATCTTTTCAATATATGGATTTCTCTTATGCCAGATTTTTCTCATTTTAGAAATATATAATCAGTTTTGTAAGTAAATACAAGGTTGTGTTTATTAACGTAGGACCCCTGTGTGTTTCCATCTTTCTTATTTTAATTGTGATATCCAGTGTATTATTTATTCCTACCAGTTGAAAAATGTGATGAGCCTGCATTTTTCTCCACCCAAATTGACAGGAGCAGGTGCATAGGAGGTGGCAATGGAGACTTCTCTCCTGGTTTTTACAGCAGTACTGATTCCTACCTTGAGAGCTTACCTTCTTGAAAAGTGTCCCATAAAATGTAGCTTTTTTTCCCCCTGAAATTACTACCCTATTCTGATCTATAATAACATGTAATTGAGAACAATTTTTTATTGAAACAGTCTTGCTGATAGATCAGATACATTTTTTTTTCCTATTTGTAGGAAAGAATATTTCTTCAAGATAAAGATAACAATTGTAGCTTATTTTTGTGGGTTTTTTTTTTTTTTCATTTACTAAAATGAGTGTATTTTCATTTTAAAAAAGAAGAATTGATGCATTTGAGTTATGGTGTTGAAGAAGAATATTAAAGGCAAAATGAACCACCAAAAGAACAAACAAATCTGTTATGGAAGAAGTACAGCCAGAATGTTCCTTAGAAGCCAGGATGGCCACACTTCATCTCTCATACTTCAGCCATATTATCAGGAGGGATCAATCCCTGAAGAAGGACATCATGCTTGATAAATTGGAGGGTCAGTGAAAAAGAGGAAGACTCCCAACGAGATGGATGGGTACAGTGGCAGCAGCAATGGACTCAAAGCTTAGCAATGAATGTGAGGTAGGTGAAGGACTGGGCAGTGTTTCATTCTATTGTGCAGAAGGCTGCCAGGAGTCAGGACTGACTTGAAGGCACCTAACAACAACAACTGACACCTCAGTTCATCTCATTTGAAAACCTTCCAGTTTTCATTTATAGATAACTTTTATTTGTTTTACTCATTATGGAGCTAATAATTTTAGTTTTTTTGTTGTTTATGAATACTTAAACATGTATTTATTTCTGTGTTTTCACGTTTCAGAATATTTTTCTCAGCACTTGGGTGAATATGAGAATGTACTAGCAGCACTTGAAGACCTAAATCTTTCCATCCTGAAGGCAATGGGCAAAACAAAGAAAGTAAGGAAATAACTGATGTTTTTTTTTTATATGAGCTCTTCATTGAAAATTACGTTTCTTGAAAATTATATCTATTTCCTAATTTATCATGAAAGCATCAGTATCAGTATCTTTTATCACTGATTGTTTTATTCTTGCTATTAAAAAACTATTTTATTCATTTGTAATATAATTACAAAGCACTAAGTGTGTGTCAGATACTGTATTTCATCCCGAGAATACTAAGATAAAATTTATTTGTTCTAAGAAGATTTACACCCTCGGAAACCCTATACAGGGTCGCTATGGGTCGGAACCGACTCGATGGCACATAACAACAACAACAACAAAGAAGTTTATGGAGTCCTGGTGTGGCACTGGAGGATAAATACTGGACCGCAAAGTTGGTTTGAACCAAAAGGTCGATTGTTCAAACTCACCAGCCACTCCTTGGAAACCCTGTACAAAGTCATTATGAGTCCTGTGCCACTAGGTAACAGACAATGGAAAGGGAATGGGCAAAAGCCACTGCCCTTTTCAGAAGGGTTTTTTAAATGAAAGCGTGATGCAATGTACCTATATGACTTTGGAGTCCTGGTGTGGCGCTGTAGGTTAATGCGATGGGCTGTAAAGTTGCTTTACTGCAGCAATAGCATGTGGCTTTGACCATTAAAAAGTATATGTTATTTAAAAAAAAAGTATATGTTCTGAAGTATATTAAAACAAACAGCTGCCTTTAAATCCATTGCAATTCATGGTGACCGCATGTGAGTCAGAGTACAACTGTGTTCCTTCAGGTTTGCAATGACTGTTTTTGAATGTAGGTTACCAGACCTTCTTTCCAATGTGGATGCCAGCCTCCAACCTTGAGGCTAGTATCTGATTGCTTAAAAACTTGCAACACCCACGGACTCTTAAAAGACATCCTAGGAAAACTTTTATTTAAAATTACCATGCCAATTGAATGAACATTATGTCTTAGCATTGATCAAAACATCTTAGATGAAAATCAAAATATCTGAAAATAATTTGCAGCAAGTCTAATAACAGTATAATGACCATATTTTGCCTATTAGTTTTTTTGCTAGAAATTAGAATTTCTATAGTCATTTCTTTAAAAATGAAAATTTCCAATAATTAGACTGCTTAAGACTTTTATTTACCAAGAAATTCCCATTGTTCTACAGAGGGGACAGATTATGATCAGCTATTATCAAGGTTTGTTAAAAGACCTGGAGAACATTTTAGACTGAATAACACAATCATACTTTGGAAAAATCTGTCAGTATCATCTGCTTATTCTTACTATGCATGTCTTTTTCAGATTTCTGTTACATTCGATGTATGGGCAATATCTCCTACTTAGTAGCTCAGTAGTCAATGACCTATGTCTATATATGTTGTTGTTGCTAAGTACCATGGTGTCGGTTCCAACTCATAAGTGACCCTGCACAGGATCTCTGAGGCTGTAGATCTTTACAGGTGCAGAACACCTCATCTTTCTTCCATAGAACTGCTGGTAGTTTCGGACTGCTGACCTTGAGGTTGGTAGCCCGACTCGTGACCACTATGCTACCAGAGCTATGTCTACATATACGTGTGTTCAAATATACATGTTGTTGTTGGTAAGTTCCGTTGAATCGGTTCCGACCCATAGCGACCCTGTACAGGGTTTCCGAGGGTGTAAATTTTTACGGGAGTAGAAAGCCTCATCTTTCTCCTGTGAAGCGGCTGGTAGTTTCAAACCGCTGACCTTGTGGTTCGCAGCCCGATTCGTAACCACTACGCTACCAGAGCTCCATTTCAAATATACATACACACATATATTTATGTTTGAAAATAGTTTCATATGTGTGTTTACATATATGCACATCTGTATGCACACACATATGTACAACATTCAAAACCTATTGCCATCAAGTTGATTCTATGTCACAGCAACCAAATAGGACAAAGCAGAATTGCTCCATAGGGCTTCTATGCTGTAGACCTTTATACAAGTAAACTGCCTCATCTTTGCCTGTGGAGCAATAAGTGAATTCAAACCACCAACCTTTCAGTTAGAAGCCATCAGAGCTCCAACTGCAACTTCAAATCCCAAGAAAATCAAGTCCAGTGTCATTGAGTCGATTCTGACTGACAATAATAATTTACAGAGTTTCTGAGACTGTGCGTCTTTATGGGACAACCTCATATTTCTCCCTCGGAGACACTGTGCCACGGCCTTATGATTAGCAGTCCAGTGCTTATCCTGCAGCACCACCAGAGCTCTTAACTGCATAACCAGGGCCACTTATATACACTCTTACATACATTTATATCGTTTACTTTTGTATGTTTGTTTAAAGGAGTTTTGGTGGCATAGTGGTTACAAGTAGGTCTACTAACCTCAAGGTCAGCAGTTGGAAACTAAACTCAAGGTCGGGCGTTCTGGTTCCATAATGATTTACAGCCTCGGAAACCCCATGCAGGGACACTGTGAGTGGAATCGACTCTACCACACATAACCACCACCAACACCATGTGTGTTTAAGCTTTAACAATATGAAAGAGTATCAGACAGATTCGTTTTGTTCTTTCTATTATAATCAGAACTACCTTGTTCAAGGATTAGACCTCTCTCAGTAAGTAGGCCACTCCCGTTCACCACCTGCTCACCACAGCAAAGAGTTCATTTATTATAATCAGTTGACTTCTTAATGAAGCGTCATTGTTTGAAATACCCTTACAATAATTCGATTGTTTAAATTCCTTGGGTATGTAACCTCCTAGATAAGTAAACTTTAGTCATGTTTCTTCAATAAACACGTCTATTAAATAAGTTATTAGTCCTATTCTAAAATCTCTATATAAGTTTAATTAGTTGGATTACAGTAAACACAGTGGGCAAAAAACATATAATAGAAAAGAAAATCTTTCTGGGGTAATTATTCTGCCACATTTTGTTGTTTTTCAAGTACTGTTACCAAAGTCCTTTGGGCCATTTCCTTTTAAATAAGAAAGCCACAGCAACTTTCCAGTGGTAAAATTATACCTTGAGTTTTAGAATTGTAGCTCTGAGATAGTAGCTCCAAGCAATCTGGAATATGAAAACATTTTCTCTTGACTTCCTCAGATTTATTAGAAATGGCATAATAACTTCATCCCTTGAAGACTTTTCTCCAGAAATGGTAGCTTTCAGATTTGCCAGTTGATGGACTAGCTTCTCTTCTCATTCAATAGATCTTATTTTAAATACATTAGCCTTAGAAAGATCTTCTCTGGCTACCATATCGAAAGTAGGTCATCTCTATTAGAGCTTAAGGTTTCTTTCTTGCTGACAGTTATCAGAATGAGTTACAATGGTTTTTCTTATTTTATTTTATTTTTTTTTTTTGTAGTCTGACAAGAGGGAGAAGGCCCAGATATGTTTTGTTCACCACTCTATATCCAGATCCCAACACAGGGCTTGACAATTAAAATACACCCAACAAATATGTATTTATTTAATGTACATTGTACAACTCTAAATGTTAAATGCTCCTCAAAGAAAACTTGCTCCTTTTAAAAAGCGTTCAGATTTTCTTTAACAGCAAGGAAAAGCAACTATATGATCTCCTTATTTTCTCTCAAATATGCATTAAAATCATGTTCTTTTCTTTGCACTAATATGATGAAGCCTTGTGGGGCTTAAATCAAGGTCAATATTTTATTTTGGTCCTATGAGTACAAAATGTTTTCCTTGGCAGTGACTATTAAAAATATGCATGGTCCATATCATCTTTCTGATTAATTAATCAAAGATAGACAAATGTCCTGGATTTAAAAACAAACAAAAATGATGAGGGCAATGAAGGAACTGTCAAAAATAAAATTAGCGAAGGCCCTGTATGCTAGCTGAAAGATGAGTGAAACACAGGAATTTGAACATTTTTCTTGCTACTGTTGAGCTGACATTTTCCTCCACCTTGTCTAGCATAATGAAACCTTCTGAGTGAGGAATCTTTTAAAAATCTCTATATTATATTTTTGCCCTGATGAAAAGTTCTGTCTCAGTAGGAAGAGTTGGCTGTTTGAAACTTTTATGAAAAATGAAATGCAAACTGCTTGTGGTCTAGCTTGGGTGTCAGTGCATCTGTTTGCTGTGTTGAAGAACAGATAAAATGGGTTTTAACTGCTTAACTGAAACTCCAGAAGGTGCCTTGGGACAGATATAGTCTGTCTCATTGTTTTTCCATCCTCCTCCTTTCTTCTTAACCCTAGACTTTTGACAGATCCCTAAGGGCTACATGGATTGTTTTACTTTGCTTATTTTTCTGGAACTAAATACAATAGGTCAAATTCCAAAAGGTCAGTTGAATTGCTTGTAGGTGTCTAAAACCAGAACTTTCCAGCTGACTTTAGAATTTTCTTACAAAATATCACTTTTGTCAGGGTTTTTTTTGTGTGTGTCCACAAATGGTTGCTAACTTATATCTGTAGCATGTGATGTGGTTGCTATCTCAAAGCAAATGTAGAATTTTTATCCTACAGTTAAAAAATCCATAGTGTGCTTCCCAGTATAAACATAGGAGTCCTGGCATGGTGCTGTGGGTTAATCGGTCAGACTGCAAAGTCATTTGAACTGCAAGGTTGGTGGTTCAAGCTCCTTGGAAACCCTATATAGGGTCGCTATGGGTCGGAATCAACTCGGTGGCACTTAACAACAGCAACAACATACAAACAAAAGTGAGATTCTCTGTTAATTGGTAAGGTTTAAAAGATCAAGATAAGCTAAAATAAATAGTGTTTTTAGAATAGACTCCTCACTAATCAACTATCTTGTTATTGCATGTGCAACTTTTTTTTTTTTTAATTCTCAGATAGTGTCTGATGGTCTGGGCCCCTCTCAGGACCTTAGTCAGGCCGAGGGTGCCCTCCACAGGCCACCTCCTCAATCAATATACCAGAGGCCTGACACTTTCTCCCTTATATTTGCAATGTCGTAGTTGGACCACAAAGTGCACAGGGTGATGGCAGATGACATGAGATTGTGAGCAGAC